ATGGAAAGTTTGGCGACAATAATACGGCATACTGCCAGTGCGGTGCCAAAAAGAATTGAATCCGTCTCGCAAAGGTCCCGGCTGGCTTCCAAATAGGTCACCAGCATTGGGTTAAGAGCCCGCACGACAGGCCGATTTCGCTTGCTAAGGGGTATGCGGGGAAGTCGCGGTCGATTTTCGAGAGGCATTCTGCGCGTTTCCAGCATCGCTCTTCCAATATGCTCCTCATTTTCTCTAGTTCGTGGGAGACTATTCCATCATCGTCTGAATCAATCACAAATGGAATATTGACCGCAGCATCCACATATCCAGTTTGCTGCGCAACTAGTGGCGCCGCATTCCCAGCCGAAGCATTTCCATTCGATGAGGGAACAGCCTCACGTCGTAGTCGTTCCAGTTCGGCGTCACCAAATATGTTGGAGCGCAGGATGTACCGAACTCGGTCTGCCAGGTTTTGCTCAGTGACGGATAGAGATGGCTCCAGCTCTGCAAAAAAGCGATGCATCCGAGCCCGATACGTCATACATCCAGTTTCTTCCTCTTTTGCCCTAAAGTACGCCCGCAGTGCGTTTGCGTTCATTATTTGTGACCAACGCATGCGACGCGCTCCACCAGCGGCGGGTGCCGCTTGCTGAGTCCGAGAAGACCCAGCCGACATAGCGGTTTTGTCACTTAACTGTTACGTCAGCGGGCGATGGGGTCTTCAATTATTATTTTTATTAGTAGTATTATTAAAACATTGGGACCTAACCTATGACGTATCATTTTTTATAGAATAAGGGTGACAAACGAGCATACAGTCCACCTGATTACAAGTAGATGCTATGGCCCATAGACGCCTACATTTATCCTCGATTAAGAATCAAAATGCAGGTGCGTTGTCACCCCTGAAGACTAGTATGAAATTCCTCGTTTCCAGTAAAAAGGGTTTCCGGCTCTCTACACTCACCATACAAAACACAGTAGCTTTAAGCTGCCATTTTACGCTGGTATTCTTTGAGAACGTGGTTCTACTCCGGTCGAGCAGATTCGTGCTACAACTACAACTATTCACCACATATGGCCTATCATAAAACCAACTTATATTTTTGTACAAATGTTAGGCCTGTAATTTAGTCTCCAGACCCCACGGTGTTTAGTCAATAAATGTGCTCTTATAATTAAAAATTACCATTAATTAATAATTAACACAAAGTTTGAAGGAGCCTACTTTCTGTCTGTAGTAGATTGGTTCCACCACTTACCAACATACCTCTAATGTGTATATATATATATATATATATATATATATATATATATATATATATATATATATATATATATATATATCGCTTGACGTAATAAAGTGACTATATTGCATTCTTTGAAATATTAACGTCATAAACTACCTAGTCAGATGAATGAGTCATTACAATACATCCGTTACTGCGTCATAACGGGTCTTTCCCAATGGGAGGTTTTTTTTCCTATTAAACCTTAATATGAAGTAGGTCGGTTATTTATCGCGTCAACGATTTGTTTTCAATTATATTTTTATTTTAAATATGATTATAATAAGTTCATCCAACCAATGGGAGTTTTTTTTTTACTATTAAGCCTTAATATGAAGTAGGTCGGTTATTTATCGCGTCAACGATTTGTTTTCAATTATATTTTTATTTTAAATATGATTATAATAAGTTCATCCAAAGTTATTTTCCCTATTTTCATATAATTTAACATATAAATAAAGTTGTAGTGTCTGTTTGTAATATCGAAATACCTTCCTTTTATTAAGCTCTAGAATAAACGTTTTCAAAGTTATTGGCTGTATGTATGTCTGTGTGTCGAGCTAATCTTTGAAATGGGTGAACCGATTGTGATAAAACTTTACAAACAGATCGAGAGCTATGTCAGGTAATCTAGGTTATATTTTGTCATAAAACTAGAGGTTAGAGGTAAAGCTTAGCGTGCTCAGCAGAGCGGGACAGTATTTCATGCCGGCACGCCGCCTGCAACTTTACAAGGCGCAGGTTCTGCCGCACATGGAATACTGTTCCAATCTCTGGGCTGGAGCTCCCCAGTACCAGCTCCTTCCACTTGACCGCATCCAGCGCCGAGAATCGTCGACGATCGAGTGCTTTCCGAGGTGATTGGGGAGAGATGTTGCATCTCTTTGCATTTTCTTTCGCATATACCGTGGGGAGTGCTCTGAGGAATTGTTCAGATTAATCCCAGCCGCTAAATTTCGTGAACGCACTACGCCCGATACCATCCACACCATCTGGATGCTTGGTGGTCCACCACTGTACGTTTCACAAGGAGTTTTCTTCCGCGTACGACCTCTCTGTGGAATAGTTTAATATCGTAGCGATTTTTCCGGACCGACACGACCTGGGGATTTTCAAGAAAAGAGCTTACTCCTTTCTAAAGGGTCGGCAACGCACCAACAATTCCCCTGGTGTTGCGGTTGATCATGGGCAGCGGTAGTCACTTAACATCAGGTGAGCCGCATGCTCGTTTGCCACCTCTTCTATAAAAAAGGTAATTTTTTTGTAGAATCGAAAACTGATGGATTTTGATGATTAAGTATCTCATAAAATAATATAAAAGTTTGCGATTTTTTTTAGTTTGCAATTCAACACAAGGAAGTTCCTTATACTTTATCTTCTGTATTTAGGTTTTGATGAAAAATCGATTTTTAATATTTTTAAAATTTTCTACGCTATTTTACAACAAAACAATAATTTGTAAAGGATAAGACCTTTTTATGTAAAATTAATAGATCTTCAATTTTTCAGTTTAATTGCTAGTCTTACTAATTGTATCTGAAAACCGGACAGCGAAAGTGATAAAAAACTTTTTTATCACTTTTAAAGACCCATATTACGGACCAAGTCGTGAATAAAAGGTAGTAAAAATTTTGTGCTCGTGAAAATTGTTAATTGCAATTTTAAGTGCTGATTTACCACGTGTTCGGCGGTGAAGGAAAACATCTTGAGCAAACCTATATGTCTGAAAAATAAAAAAAATATATCGAAGACAAATGCCAACATGCATTGGGGAAGCGCGGCGGACACTTTCCTGCCCTAAAACTCTCTCAGAAGTGAGAGGAGGCCTGTGCCCAACAGTGGGCCGTAGACTGTAAATTTACATTTTACTTTTATAGCGTTGCTGTCTCATTTTCGAGTAAGCGTTTGTCAGTTGTGGACTTTAAAAGTGTAACGACGATTACGATTACTGCTTTATTAAGAACACAGTTTGGAGGACTGTGTAGAACATAGTTTTAAAATGATGTTTTTCTGTATTTGGTAAAACACAATAAACTTTCTCGTCGTGAGCTACTCATATGATAATATAACCGGTAGAACTTCGTGGCGTATCATTAAGCAAACCCAAATGATAGTTTCTTATCGTCGGCGCATTTGTTTTTGCTTATTTTTGCTGCAAACTGTTATTCATAAAATATTTATATTGATATGTAAATATTTTCTGGGTAACTGGAAATTTTCATAGCTCCAATCCTATATTAAAATCTTATATAGGATTGGAGCTATGAAAATTTCTAGTTATCAAACGTTCATACGCTCGTAAAATGAGACAGATGACCAGTCCTTGACTTTGAGAGCTTAGTGCGAATTGTGAAATTGCGTATTTTTTGATTTTTCGTTTGATCCATAATAAACTCCTCATCATCATCATCATCATCATTACAGCCCTTCACAAGTCCACTGCTGAACGTAGGCCTCCCCCAAGTAATGCCACAAAGCACGATCCTGAGCCACCTGAATCCATCGACTTCCTGCATGTCTTACCAGGTCTTCACTCCATTTCGTGGGGGGTCGCCCTACACTACGCCTACCGGTACGAGGCTGCCACTCGAGAACCTTTCTTCCCCATCGGTTATCGGTTCTTCGAGCTATATGGCCGGCCCATTGCCACTTCAGCTTACTAATCCGTTGGGCTATGTCGGTCACTCTGGTTTTACTGCGGACAGATGGTCGCCCTCCCGGTGATAGAACAAGTCGCCGGACTCGAGGATTACCGTGTCCTCCCCCTCTCTTCGGACCTCAGATAATCCAATAATATCCCAGCGCAACTTGTCTACCTCTTCTTCCAGCTCCAGTATCTTCTCGTCAGTCCTCAGGGTGCGTGCGTTATACGTTGCCAGGTCGAGTCGTCGTAGGTGGCAACCGAACCTCCACCGGAGATTCTTAGCACCCCTGCCCCGCCGTTACCATGGTCGCCACCGTAGCCAGGAATAGCGGGGCCGCCGGGGACTGGGGGCCGTTTGTTTGCGTCGTTGCTCATGGGGGGATATTTGCCATAGTTGCCACGCTTGGCGAGCGGGTTGGCAACCGCAGTTTTTTATTATGTTATTGTTGTTATTAGGAAGATGCTGCTGCCCATCTCCTGCATGTGTCCCTCTGTCGCCTCTTACGACACCCACGGGAAGATATGGGGTAGTGGATATTCTCAACCGCCACTACACGGCAATTTAGAATTTCCCTTTCCAACTGAATTTAGAATTTCCCTAATTTATTCCACAAAATCGTGCCTAGTGAGATTCGCTCTACATTTCGTTTAGCTTTCTTCTCCATCGGTTGTCGGTTCTTCGAGCTGTAGGGCCTGTCCATTTCCACTTCAATATACTGATCCTTAAAAAGTAAAATACCTTAAACCATATTTTTTTACGAGTTCTAAATACGTTAAAAACATTGCTAGTTGCTTGAGCATAGTTATGAGTAAAATTCAGGCAAATTTTCTTCCTTTCTTATTTTTTATAATACTGAACTGTCAAACGGACTTGTAGTACATCTGATAGTAGATAAGTGCTACTCATAACTACTACTCCTGTGAACTAAGTTGGAATGCCTCCCAGCCTGTAATTACATTAGGTCTCTTTACGTAAGAGGTGGACCTACGGACCCAGACTCGGACCCAGACGGACTCCTAGGAAAAAAGAATTCCAACCACCTAGTAGAGATTAATTTCAATTCACGCTTATTTTTTGCTCCTAGATGTCACCAAAGAAATGGTCGAAGAATACGTTTGGTTGGGCGCGAGCGGAAGTGCTGGGGGCTCTTGTGAATGCTGTGTTCTTAGTGGCGCTGTGCTTCAGCATTACAGTGGAAGCGATGCAGCGGTTTATAAAGATTGAGATCATACACAACGCAAAGCTGCTGGTAGCCGTCGGGACGCTGGGACTTATTCTGAACATCGTCGGGCTTTTCCTATTCCATGGTACGTATGTGCTGAAAAATTTATAATAATATATAATAAAGGATTTCACATTAGGTGCTCTGAAGGATGGACGCGTGGTGGTTGATTCTTAATCAGGGATTGATATATAAGTAAGGTTCACTTTTGTTTTCGAAAAAGTATATATGTGATATATACTTTTTCGATGTCATTACCAGGAAAATTATAGTAGATGGCAAAAATAAAATAACATATCGTTAACAGTTACAACAAACACACCTGATAGTTACAGCCTATACTTCCTACTGCTGAGCACAGGCCTCCTCTCATTTCTGAGAGTGTTCTAGGGCAAGGAAATATCCTCCGCGCTGCCCCATTGCGGTTTGGCGAACTTTCCTTGGCCTTCAAAATATTTTTTTTTATTATTTCTCAGACATGCCAGTTTTCTTACGATGTTTTCCTTCATCGCCGAGCACGTGGTAAATCAGCACTTAAAATTGCTATTAACAATTTAATAGAGGCCGGCGAGGATCGAACCCTGGTTGCTCGTGTACTGTAAAATTTACAGCGAGCTCTTATCCACTGAGCTACCACGGTTCTGTAGCAATAATATGTAGTAATAATAACAGGAAAACTAAGATATAATATGTAGTAATTTTGTAGACTGTGCTCGTTCTTCTATAAAGAAATCAACATTTTGTGGTTAAATATTTTCCTGTTGAGTGATTCCGCATCACTGTCACAATCCATACAACTACCGATAAATTATTGTTTTCATTCCAATGAATACGTAATTAAAAAACTTCTTATCACGTGTAATGCATTGATTTTAACTTGCATTGTCTTAAAAATATATAATTAGCGACAAGATAACGTATCGTATGTCTGTGATATGTTCATAGACCGCCATCATTTCATTCACTATTACCACAGTATAATAATGACATATAGACATAGGGATTTATATACTAAGCTATTACACTATAGCCCTTCACAAGTTCACTGCTGAATATAAGCCTCCCCCATAGTTTGCCACAGTACGGTCCTGAGCTACCTGTATCCATCGACTTCCTGGGTGTTTCATCAAATCGACCCAACACTGAGCTTTCTTCCCTTTTGGTTGTCTCTTCTTTGAACTATACTGGATGACCTTTTTTACCGTCTGGAAAAAATATGGTGTAACATGTGATCGAAGTAGGAGCCTATGGCACTGATATTTTACAAAAAATCAATACAAAAATTTTGAGTTAAATAGATAAATTAATTAAAATCTATCGAAATTCGTATCATATCCACCCTACTTTATGAACAACAATAAAATAATTAAATTTATTAGGCATCTTTGACCTTGTTACTTCGCAGGGTCTCAGGCTAGGGTGTGTATATGATTTGAATTTCGATAGATTTTATTTTATTTATTTATTTAATTCAATATTTTTTGTTTTTATTTTTTGTAAAATATCAGTGCCATAGGCTTCTACTCCGTTCACATGTTACACCCTATTTTTTTCCAGACGGTAAAAAAGGTCATCCAGTATATCCGGCCCTTTGTCACTTCAGCTTACTGACCCGCTGAGCTGTTGCTCCTGTTCATCGGCGGATATCCTCGTTTCGTATTTTATCCCACAGAAAAATTCCTTTCATTGCAGCCTATTAAACATCTAAGTTTGAACATAGGCTTTCCCCATCACCACATAGGAGAGATATTTGCTTTAGTTGCCACCCTTGGCAGGTGGGTGGGCACTGGGCAACCGCAGTTTTTTATGAAGAAGATGCTGGGTTTCTCATGTTTCAGTTCTCCTCTGCCGCTTCTTGTTAAACCCTTCATGATGTGTGGTAGTGAATTCTCTTACGCCGCTACTACACTACCTATGGGGTATGTTCCGAAATGTTTCCAGTGTACTGGCGAATGCAAATGACGTCATTAATTGACGGCATATTCCAATATATTCGATATAACGAATCATCAGAATGGCGTCGATTTATGACGTTATTTGCACTGGCCAGTGTACTGTGTTGTATTTCGGAACATACCCATGATAAATAGTTTCACCACTACATGTTTAAATTTGGATTTACAATTAAAAATAATATAATGGAAATCTTATATAGTATGTCTTATATAATCATGCATGATGTAACTCTTATATTGTTCTACCTGCGCATTTAGTTACAATCACGCATTAATAAATTACTTTTTTTTTAAATCATAGAGCCACGCTGCAGCTATATTATCGTCGTAGCATAAATGGGTCAGCTCGACCGGAGCAGGACCACGCTCTCACAGAATACCAACGTAAAATAGCAGCGTAATGCTATTGTGTTTCGTATGGTGAGTGTAGAGAACCGGAGACGGTCTTTACTAGAATTGAGGCATTCCATCTTAGTCCTCAGGGGTGACAACGCATTTGCATTTTGATCATTAATTGAGAATAAATGTGGATGTCTAAAAATGGGTTATGGCATCCACTTACCATCAGGTGGACTGTGTGCTCGTTTGTCACCCAATACTACTACTTACTAGACCCTTTCTTTTATAGGTTTAAACTCAAACAATCTAATAGTTAACATTGTTTCATATTATATTGTTTGAGTGTATATATAATAGTAGTGTAATATTTGCGTGTTTATAAATTCTGCATCATTGACTTTGCGGTAACAATTTACAATAATAGCCGGTAAATTATTATTGGCGTTCCAATGAATATACTTAAACAAACAAACACGTGCAATACATTGTTTTTAAACTTACATCGATCTAAAGGACATTAATTTAGCAACAAGATACCGTATCGTGTACCTGTGATATCATTTATCTCATGTGTTGAAATTTGGATTTAGGGTTTATGAGTATGTTATATTTTTTTGTTCAATGTTTTTAAACTGTCATTTAATTAAAAGATATTTAACAACAAGATAATTTACCGTGTATCTGTGATACATCATTTATCAATAGGTATATAAAGCTTTATATATTCGTACAAAAATATCGAACAATGAATGATCGATAAGTATTGTGAAGTAACAATGGCCTGTTTTAGCTGTTGTTGTTTTATGTTAATCATTTGTACGCAATCGGATGAATATTTTGTTTAATCGTTTAACGTTTTTAGTTTTTTCGTATATACGTGGTGAAGGTATACTGCAGATATAATATATTTGTAGCGCGGATGGGTCGGCCCGACCGGGACAGGACCACGCTCTTACAGAATAACAACGTAAAATAGCAATTTAATGCTGCTGTGTTTTCGTATGATGAGAGTAAAAAATCGGAGAGTAGGAAACAAAGCATTTCGATTGTTGTTCAAGGATAGATGTAGATGTCTGAGCTACAGCATCCACGTAATATCACCTGGTCTGTGCGCTTGTTTGTCGCACTTATTCTATTTTTAAAAATACACGTATCCTTCCATGTTTATGAAATGTCTCAACCTCAACCCTTGATGTAAACAGCAAACACCTTAAAGCCAAGACAGCTTGAATACACTAGAAGGAATGAAATACGTGATTTTTTATATCAAACGTAAGTAAATTGCTTTTGGCTTTTCTTTCCTTTTTTTTTTTTAATGTTCTCCGGGCCGTTAAATTTAAATTACAAAACATCTGTGGTCTTTGAATAATTTACGCGTTTTCTTTTGTGTGTTAGATCACTTGTCAATATCTAATTTAGTCAATAGATTTTATTAGTATTACAGTTTAAGGCTTTATTTCCGAGATGGCATTATGTACGTATATTATACTATATTATAGATATCATTTAGAGTAGTAACGTACTAGTAATACATAATAATAATGACCTCCACATCGAATAGATTAGTCACCTGCGCAGGAAAGATTGCAATGCCCGAGGTGCACTCCATCCCCCACTCTCATAGTCAAACGACAATCCGACACGGCCGGTAAGAGACCAACGGCTTTACGTGCTTTCCGAGGCACGGGGATAAAATACCGCCAACTGCCTGATACTGAGAAGTTCTATACTGAAACACTCAATAACTAATTTTTGCCCCGACGCAGGATTCGAATCCGGGACTTCATGATCAACAACCGCGTTTAAACGATTCCTGAGCCAATGAAGCAGAATATTAGATGTTCACGAACGAATATATCACGGAAATGGAATTGTTTGTTACATTTGTCCATTAATTCTAAAGAAAATCATTAATTGAATTTGACGCAATAAAGTACAAATAAATAAATAAAAAATTGCTACACGCTTTATGAATGTATATTATTCATGGTTTTGAACTGTTGGTACGATTATTAATGTTTACATTTCGACAGAATACATTTACAATTTTGCCTGTTTCATTTAAAGTAAAACTGTGACAAAAAATATGATGATTGCATCTGGGCTTACATGGATTAAAATAATTTCTATATTATAATAGAATAATACGATGAAGCATGAAGATAATGTATTATTTTATTATATTTCTGGCTTATTCCTCTTTCTCTTACGAGACTTTATGGGGTATTGGATATTAACATTAGCATTAGTCGGGCAGTAGCGTATTTTTAACAACAACTACAACAATCAACAAAGTAAAATGAATAAAGCTGCGTTTACCGGACAGCCTACCAAGCTTGGAAACCATAACAAATGGGTGCGTTTGGCAGAAAAAAGCGCTAGCAAGCGCTTACAAGCGCTAAAATAGTTTTCGGCCAGCACACGATTGCTACTTCTGTAGCGCTGACACAATCCGTCATTTTGCTTATTTAATTTGTTTGTTTTGAAGTAGAGTTTATAAGTTGTTTTGTGCAATATTAGTTTTAAGTAATATAATGACATGAATAAACATATACATGTTATTAAAAATTCATGATTAGTAAGTTTTTAATATGAATACTTTACAAACATATATTTAAATTAGATTAGGTTCCCCAGTTAAAACTAACATCGTGTCCTAGAGGAAAATAGCTACTTACGATTTGACAGCGCTTACCGCTTACGATCGCCATTTTGCTTACAAGCGCTTGCTAGCGCTTTTTTCTGCCAAACGCATCCAATATAACCCTTTCAAGACAATCTATGTGATTAG